TTAAAAAGGACTAAAGATATATTCTTGATATATGAAGGGGATGAACTAAGAGTTCATGAATATGCTGATGTTAGCTTTTTTCCTGAGAAGGACGATAGCTAATGTCAGTCTAGATATATGTTGACTCTCAACAATGGAGCAGTTAGTTGAAAAAGTCTCAAATAGGAGACGATCATTGATTCAACAACAAACGTCTAGTACATTGCTGCTTCTGAAGCAACGAAGCTAGATCAAGAAGTTCATTAATGAACTTGGAGTTGTTTTTGGCATTGTTGATCTTCTACTTATGTATTGTGATAACAATCGAGCCATCGCGCATGTGAAATAACCAAGATCTCATCTACGATCCAAACATGTGCTAAGGTGGTATCATCTCTTCAGGGAGATTATACAAAGAAATGACATGTAGATAAAGCGAATTTCCATAGACGATAATATTGCAGATCCATTGAAAAAGTTGTTGTCGCAGCATCAACATGAAAGTCATGTAGATTCTTATGGTATGAGATACATAAGTGATTGGATTTGGTGCAAGTGGGGTTTTGTAAGTATTATACCCTATGTCCAATTGATTTAGGTTATAAATACTTTTAATGTGTTTAATGTATCGATTTTGGCAAGATATGTTATTTATTTGAATTACTATTCTAATAAATTATATTAAATAATAGAGTCTGTAGATTTAATTCTTAATGATTTGTTAATAACAAAAAATTGTGATTGTGAGATACAAATTACAATGATTGAATCTTAAATCATCTGTAATCATAAGAATAACAAGATATGATTATCTTTATAATGAATAGACCATCACATGTGACATTTTTTATTTGTGAAGTTACTAATCTCACGAGTTAAAGTATAGTGACATTTAAATAAACACGTGAATATTTTGTTATAAAATAAAATTTTGGAGACCTGCTGGAGAGATTCTACATGGATAACTATTTGAGTGTCAGTTGTTAACTTCTAACGTTCGGTAGTAGAATCAGTCCTTCGACTTGAGGTTATCATAATGCCTAATATGAGGCTAGTCATACTTTAGTTATATGGGATGTTGCTCTGCAAAGGGTCGTTAATACAGCAACGATTAGGTATGTCAAAAATCATATGAAGATTGTGCGTTATCAATAGAGGATTCAGCAATCTTAGTTAGTAAGAGATTATAGTGTACATTTCATTCAGTCAAGTCGATAACGAAATTCTTGGACAATGTATACTAATAAGTCAAAAATGAGTATTCAACTTACATTGACTTGATAGTGGGATGAAGGATATGATCAATAATAGAGATTGACGCACATTCATATCTCATAATTGATCAAATCATATTGATGAAAGGATTATAGTTTCACGACAAACGAGCAAGTTTGATTCTACCATATTACGTGATATTTTTAATCACATGTATTGCCCTGATACATTGTTAGATATCAATTTGGGATGACAAATGCGCATAGATGATAAATTAAAGTGAGATAGTTTAATTTATCGTTTTGATTAGATCAAAATAATAATTCACGTTATTAGGTATTGTAATCGAGAACCAAATAGATCACACACAAAAGGAGAACAAAAAAGAATGAGATTTATCAATTAATTAATTGACAAGTATTGGACAATTAACTAATTGGGTTGCTTGTTAGTATGCCCGAATTAATTAATTCGTGGACCAAATTTAATTAATTGGATTAATTGAATATTTGACTGGATTATATTTAAGAGGTGGGTCAAGTTCCCTCAAACTTATATTAATCGGTTGCTAGGATTTGAAAATTTGTGGAGAATACAATTTATATTATTTTTAGCACAATAAAAGAAAAATTTTAGTACTTTTAATCTTGTTTCCTCTGTAGAATTTCATTAGAGGTTGGGCGATTGGGTAGCAGTGGATTATAGATTAGAGGTGTTTTTCGAAGAATTCATCAAAAGGTATAATTCGTTATCACATATTCTCCCTAAGCATAAAGGAGCTCTTTGGTGGAAATTGAAATCTATTTTATTTTCGCTGTACATGATTAAATTAATTCCCAACAAGTCGACAAACAACTAATATTATAAGAGCGATTTTGTGGAGCCATGTCATTTTAAAGAAGGATTAAAATGACTATTTTAGAATCTCATATTGCTTATGAAAGGTTTGAGTTGTGGTTTATAAATGTATTGAACTCCTTCCCATTAGAAGTCAAATTTCAAAGGTGATTTGTACACAAAATGTTTATTCGAATTTGGATTTGAAGTCTAAATCTATTCTCCTAAAGACGTTTCACCCATTAAACCAAAAGTGTACATGACAATATAGAAGAAAAATATTGTGTGCATTGTTTGAAAAAATCGAGCAAGCATACGGGTTTGTTGTACAAGTAATAATCATGACGAGATAGTTATCGTCTCACATGGAATAAGACTCAATTTTAACGTATTTGATATATTTAAATTCATGGTTGTAACAAAAAGATGATTGATTGATGTCTAACTGCGTTTTATAATGGTACAATCAATAAAAATTGTATTAAAAATCAAATGTGGGTGAATATATTAGATTTCCATCTCCATTGATCAACTCTTAGTTCTAGTTCTCAACAAGTGACAATTAACTCAATTTATGCAATTGTGTCGATCAATAATTTCACTTTTATTTACTATTCTTTTCTAAGATATAATAAATCTATGATTACCATGAGACGATCTTATTCCTAGTCCGAATTCATATGGAAAACATGTATAGATGTTTAAGATTATCACACATGACCACACACGCCATAAGTACCATTTCTAATATTTATTGTCCATATATTTCATAAACAGTATTCTACCTACCTTGAGTTTCCCAACTCTATGAATAAACAATTCATTGTCTTAATGGTGTGCAAAAATTAAAACAATGTAATTATGCATATTAATTGAAACACAACGCAAGACTTCAGATAAATACACTAAGTTTTGAATTAAAAATTAAGAATTTAAAAGTTTTGTCATCCATCCAATATAAAGGATTTTAGCCTAGCATATCAATGTAAGAATTACAAGAAAAATAAAAAAAATTCATCACCTGAATTGTTAAACTATGAAGAAAATTTGGATCCAAGCAATGAATTCTTCATTTTTCAATGTAAATTATCTCTATTTCTCTCAAAAGTCAGCTTACAACGATGATTCTTAGGTCTCGATGTGTTCTCTTATTTATATGATGGTAAAGAGATTGCTTGCCAAAATTAATAAACAACCCCCATATCACAAAAGATCCTGCGGGTAAATAGAAATAAAGGGAATTGACATAAAATTCGCAACATTTATTTCGACTTTTTATTGTTATATGTGTTCTTGATTTGTAAGGCCCTTTTACCTTATGTAATTCGCGGTTGTTTCATTTTGTGTTGAAATTTTCACATTTTGTAGATTCTGTTGCAAATCCCATAAAATCCAAGAAATTCAATCCTGTGTGATGCTTAAACTAATGAGATAGTTAATGGGCTTTCGTTAGTTGATATAATGATCAGATATTTGCTTGACTTTTGTGATGTGGTGGTTGTTTAATTGTTTAATCATGAATAATAAAATATCATCATTTACGATCCCGAATAAGTGTAGAAACTGCACTTATGATGTATATCGGCAATAGAGTATATGAACAAGTAGTATCGTTGATCCAAATAGCTGCTCCAGTAGAAAACAGCATCAGACAATAAATTCCATTTGAACCCAATAGGGCTGCATTGGGTACAATGGTCATTCATAAATAATAATTAATTTATAGCACTCTGACTTGAATGACTAATTACACAATATATGTCTTGTTAACAAATATTATTTGATAAAAATTCAGTAAGATGAAAATATCAAATGAACGAAAATAGTACAATTATTTTTGAGTATTAAATACAAATATCGTCTCATTAAAACCTTATCAAGAAAATTCAATAGAACAAAACCTGATTGAAGGAAAAAAGAGTACTACTTCCCTTGATGTCGATCATTGTAGATCTTTATATTCACAAGCTCTTACTCATGTATTTATTTCTTCAGTGTAGATGCCAATGATACCTTTCTAAATAAAAGCGCACAAAAAATATAGAGGACTTCAAAAAATTGTTGACAAATATTTCTTTTCGGCTCCCTTATTCCCTTTAGTAACATAAATTTATTGAGATCTTTTTATTTCACAAATTTTATGTATCCAAACCTCTTTTAGATTATTTGAATATTATGTTTTATTATCTCTTGAAGACTTTCATTTCTTTATCTTTAGGAGGGCCATCTTGATTATTAGCTCCATTTTTATTTCTTTTTGGGGAGAATTTACAAAATTTGACAGTTAAAGTGTACCCCTTAGACATGATGCATTTTGTAAATTTCTCAATAGAAAAAGAAAATTGTTTAGTTTATAACAATAAAAAGAAACTAATCCAATAAAATAGCACCTCACACAATATAATATTGTTTCCTATTTACTTCACATAAAATTATGTCCCGTGAGGCATATCCCAAATTATTGAAACTAAAGCAAAACCTACAAACATATAAAAATAACATTAAATGTCTATCGAAGAAATAATTATTTCAAAAACAACTTAGAATTTAATCACCAAGTTCTCGGTAGATTGGTGTGAGTTCTCTATGCCTAGAACATGAGCGAACCTATTAAAAACTTAAGAAAAAAAACAAAAGTTTCAAGTGAAACATAATGATATTGAGAGTCTATCGGTAATTTTATTACCCTTTCTTGGTCTATTATTAACCTATTTATTTTGTGTATGTATGAAATAAAACCTTCAACGATTTTGAGCACTATAATGTTGGTATTCAAGCCTTCTCCTTTCAGAGTATATCTAAAAGAGAATCCGATACTTCTTGATCGTGAACATTTGAACTGGTTGTTTGTTAGCAACCATCATTGTACTTTCTTATAGTATTATAATATATAATCATGTGCTATCCGCTTACGAAATGTATCATCGCTTAGAAACAAAATTACTACAATAAAAAATAACTAGAAGTAGGGGGGGAAAAAAAAGCATAAATCTCTTAACCACAAGAAAAGTATAGGATCAATTTTAGCATAGCACATCTCACACACTATATGTAATATATCATATATAGTATATACATATATTGCACAAACGTAACTTTCTTGGCCACTTTACATAGCAGCTACTTGGCCCGTCACTTCCACTTTTCTCGGCCGCTGGGATCTCTGCTGGCGGCGGTGCCGCCTGTGGCTGCCACCAAATTTCATCTTTTCCCTAAGCCTTCCACTATTTAGAAACATCTCCCTTTCTGAAGGCACCATCACACATTCTGGCGGTGGAACTGGATAGCGTATATTGTCATAACAACTCGAGTAATACATGTACTTTTCGCGAAACCATTTCATTGATTTTCGACCCTCCAGCGTAATGGTAGAGTATTCTTTAGCAAGTAAACTTGCAATTCTATCAGTGCAGTTAGTTGATGAAATTTGCTCGTTGGGATCGACAATGCAACCTTCAAGTGCGAGGTTTGTGAATTCAGACACAAAAGGCTCATATTTGTAGTCTACTTTCTCTTTGCCACCATTTGTGGCCCAAGTTGAAGCATCCCATATGGTGGCGTATAGTGACATTGGCTTTGATGGATAATCCCCAGCCATAGCTGCGTTGCGAACTATTTCCCTTATCGGGATTTCGTCCACGTAAAATCTGAAATATATTATGTATTTGTTGTGAGGATCATAAAAGGAATATAATTGAGACGGAAACAATGAAACAAATAATAGAAGAGGTAGAAAAACCATATTTCTAGGGTTACGTACTAGGCATTTGTCATGTAAAAATGAGAATAAGCAATAAAAAATAATAACAAAAACACACAAGTTTACTTGGAAATCTAGATGGGGAGAGGAAGAGAAATCTACTATTTCAGAATGAGTACAAGAGATATATGTTTAGCAGCTACTCTGAATGATACAATGAAACTCTAACATACTTCATATATATTTGTGTGCGCAAGAAAAATAAAAAAGGTCCACACCCCCAAAAAGTTCTCATTATTTTGATTTCACCATATATGTCGCATTGCGAACTTTTCAAGTCGGACCAAACAAATCACCTTATTCTAGGCCACGTGAAGCACTATTTGATATAGTAGATTATTATAAAAATTGATGAAATATGTAGCTGATAAAAATTGTAAATCTTATAAAATGTATGATTGAAAATGAATTTGAGAAAAAAATAATAATTTTTTTTTTAGTGGGAGGCAAATAGGCACAAAAAAAATATAAAGAAAATGTTTTACTTCTTTGTTTTAAGAGTAAATCCCTTGTCAGTTAGATATGACATAAATAAACCATGTAAAAAGGGCTTATACAACTCTTAAAGGAGTCAACATTTAAAATGAAATTCTAAGACTTTGCAGAGCCCGACATGCTCAAATGAGTGATTCGACGTGTCTAATGCTCAATCGACCATTGGATTCAGTGTTGTTAAAGAGTTACTATCTTCCGGGGTGATGGGAATCCACTTATTTTTGTATTCTTGAATATGGCAAAGATTCAAGCGAGACAGAAAAATTTGTCCCTTAGAAGCTTTAAATAGTCGACTAGCTGACAAAATGAAGTGGCTTATTTATTCTGCACCTTTTAATGAATACATAAAAGAATAAAGAAGAAGAGGGTTCTTGAATGAATTGCATATTCCATTTTTCCCCCCTTTAATTTGGCTTGGTTATTGTTTTTCTCTCTCTTACACAGTCTTGTATTTCTTTCTTTCGTAATCTATGCAAACGAAATTGAAGGACATGCATCATTTAGAGAGAGAAGAGAGAGATGATGTTGGGTCTAACCCACTTTGGATGATGGAATGAATTGCTCGTGGTTTAAATTAATTTGATAAATGAGTTCAAACATTGAAGCAAAAAAGGTAAAACGTTTGAGGGTCAGACCAAACTTTGATTTTACAAACATTTCTTTCTTCTTTTTATTTTTATTTATTTATTTATTTATTATTATTATTATTATTTTTTATTATTATTATTTTTTTTTTGGTGAGGTTTGGCATTAATCCCTACCTTATCTATTGATAATATAAATTATTATCAGAGAAGGTCCAAGTTCATTCTCTCCACTCCTTCACGTTTTGGGATTTTCTTTCTTGTGCTAACTTTGTGATCTTTCTTCCGTTTAGGTAACAAATCGACCCTCTAGTTGTTTGATTTTACATATTTTTATTCTAAAATTCATTTGAATAATTGAAATTGAGATTTGAGAAATATTTTCAACTACAATCCCCAATTTCGTATCGCTTATTAGTTATTATCTAGTCTACAGGAAAAAATATAAACATCTAAATAAGTCGGCACTGCCATATTATAGAAATTATCAATATAGATGTCTTTTGGAGAATCATGCAATTATCCTTATCCGGTTAAATTATGGGGTTTGGATCTAATTGTTGCAACTATAAATAAGATATTAAGAAGACAACTATAAAATTGTGTGAATTTGGAAAGTATGATTTTGATCTCTGCTAGTATTAAAAAAAAAAAAAAAATGGTTGATGTCATCTTGTTTCTTCTTACTATTTATTCAACTAGATCACATATTGGAATTGTGATTTAATAGCTACGATATATTCATCTATTGAATTGATTTAAAAATTTGGAAATAGGTTATATTTGCAAGACTACCAAATGAAGAATTTTGAAGAATGGTAAGAAGCAGAATGCCAAAGGGAGGAGCTGAGAAAATAGAGAAGGGATGAAGTGATACAATGTGTGGTTGCATATAATAGAGAATTTGGGGGAATCATGGGATCATACTTCAATTTTTAGACAAGTTATCTCGAGTGTCATACATTTTAATATTAAAACGTATATAATTTTATATTAATTATTAGAATTACGAGTGAGAACATAGACATACCTCATCTAGATACCGTGCTTATTTTGTTAATATTGAATTTGATTTTGTAACATTCGTGGAGAAACATTTTAAATAAAAACCCTTATTTTCGAGTGCAGAGCAAAATGTAGTTGAAGCGAGCATTCAAAATAACAAATTATGATACGTTGTTCTAAAAAAATTGTATTTTAATTTTGACCCCACAATGTCAAATGTCCGACTCCGTCCCTGATTAAAATGCTAGAATTAGCTATGCAACAAAAGGGCAACCAAACTTTTGCAGAGACTCGAAAACTAGCCCTTCATAAATTTGAAAACTTTATAGTTAGTTCAGCGAAAGCTTATCGTTTTCATCACCCACAAGGCAGACACCCTTTAGCTATCAAGGAATCGCGTATTAATGTAACATTTTTCATTGCTTGCCCTTATGTGGAATTTCCTTTTGGTTTTAGTGACGAGAAAATTCATCGTTGAAGTCCACCCTTTTTTTAATGAACTATTACGTTAACCCAAATTTAAAAGTAACTGCCTATATGAAGTTTCATGATCAATAAGGATCAAGTTAGTGCCTATTTGACATGACTTTCGAAAAATCAAAATGAGGCTTTGAGATCCAAAAGTTGCTTTTAAATTCATTTGACTAATTTTATGAAAGTGTCGCTGATAGTTGAAGAGTTTCAGAGGAAGTTGGTCCAATGTAACTTTCTTTAAAAGAACTTTCGAAATAGAAAGCTTTTTGAAAATTAGTTTCCAAACAAAAATTAAAATAGGTTCTTCCAAAAGCTCTTTTATAGAAAGAAAAAGCAAAAATAAATATCATGTCAAACGGACCATGATCATTGAGTAGACTTATATATCACATGTAATGTGGAGCTAAGTATAGTAAGCTTAGGTTAAGGTATAATATACCAAGATTTCAGGGATAAAAAAGGTGGAAATTAAATCACAAGGCAAATTAAGCATATGTGATTTTAAGATGAGCAACTTACATGGTGTTCTTAGGGGTCCAAAGAATGCTGTAGCGATGAGAATCCTTGCTTGGATCAAACCATAATCGATACCTCTCCTCTCTTCCACGAGATGTGCTTCCATTGCCATACATGTTTGTTTGGAACCTCCAAGGTTTCCCCTTTACGTTCCCCATAAACTCGATGTCTAATTCATCGTGGTTCCTTTCAAATGTGTCTACATTTGAAGTCTAAGCCAAAACTTTGAATCAATCATTAACCATCTAGACAAACATTTTATCTTTTTCTTTGCTTTTTAACCAGGTTTAATGTAGAGATAAAATGGGGAGAAACCTAATTTGCTTTATTTTCCACATGCAAACAAATTGATACATAATCATAAAGAATTTAAAAAGACAAGAAAACATATATTAAAATTTAAAATCCGTTATATATATGTATATATTGTACTTACATAAAATGCAACGACAATGCCAGCGGTACTTTCTGCTGGTAATTTGATGCTTGCACTGAAGAAACCATAGTTGTAATAATCGGATGATATAATCCCAGAACCTGAACAAGATATTATGGAATTTTTCATAAATTCAGTAGCCAAAATATATATACATACATATTTTTTTTTTTGTAAATCTTATATACACATTCTTATACACAATAAAAATAGAAAATAACAGAAAAACACGTTTATACAAATTCCACCCTAAATTTCCCATGCTTTTCCAACAGAATTTTTCAAACCCACAAATAGTTTTCCAACATCTACACACATGCATAAATACATATGACTTAATTGGGGTGTGTGGACGTGGCTCGTGTCTAACTGCTTAAGCTTCCCGATGAAACGGTTACCGGAAAAACGGTTGAGGAGGAGACGAACGGTCTTTTCGTCGGGTGATCGTTGAATGTTGAAATCACTGAAGAGAGGGGAATAGGCTTCATCGAATCTGAGGGTGGTTAGGTTAAAAGCTGTGGTTATGCATAACAAGAAAAGGAAGAGGAGGAAGAAGAAGAAGAGGGTTCTTGAATGAATTGCATATTCCATTTTTCCCCCCTTTAATTTGGCTTGGTTATTGTTTTTCTCTCTCTTACACAGTCTTGTATTTCTTTCTTTCGTAATCTATGCAAACGAAATTGAAGGACATGCATCATTTAGAGAGAGAAGAGAGAGATGATGTTGGGTCTAACCCACTTTGGATGATGGAATGAATTGCTCGTGGTTTAAATTAATTTGATAAATGAGTTCAAACATTGAAGCAAAAAAGTTAAAACGTTTGAGGATCAGACCAAACTTTGATTTTACAAACATTTCTTTCTTCTTTTTATTTTTATTTATTTATTTATTTATTATTATTATTATTATTTTTTATTATTATTATTTTTTTTTTGGTGAGGTTTGGCATTAATCCCTACCTTATCTATTGATAATATAAATTATTATCAGAGAAGGGAGACGTACCAATTTTACCTCCAAAATTGCAAGGAGATTAGGAGATGGAGAATTATTTATTCGAAGTTATAAACATCCCATTACAAAAAGGTTGAAACAAAAATTACATCTACGAGACAAAGACTGCACCATTTAATCAAGAAGCCACAACACAATTTTTTGTTGTATTTAATGATAAATATTAACACTAGATCACATATTGGAATTGTGATTTAATAGCTACGATATATTCATCTATTGAATTGATTTAAAAATTTGGAAATAGGTTATATTTGCAAGACTACCAAATGAAGAATTTTGAAGAATGGTAAGAAGCAGAATGCCAAAGGGAGGAGCTGAGAAAATAGAGAAGGGATGAAGTGATACAATGTGTGGTTGCATATAATAGAGAATTTGGGGGAATCATGGGATCATACTTCAATTTTTAGACAAGTTATCTCGAGTGTCATACATTTTAATATTAAAACGTATATAATTTTATATTAATTATTAGAATTACGAGTGAGAACATAGACATATTAGAGAGTGGGATATTAGTTTCAAGAAAGTAAAATGTGGGATATTATTGTGGTAAAAATGGATTATTATGGTAGAGATCATGGATTTTAATTGATAATTTTATGAAATTTAATATAAGACCTCGAGCACTCATAAATATCAGTCTTTTACCAATTTTCATATATTACGACTTCACACCCTCTGCACAAACTTAAGCCTTATTTGGCCCTTATTCTTTTAAATTCAATTTTTTTTTTAAATTCAATTTTAGCGAATCTACATTAGACCCATAATATTTATTAACTTTTCAACCACAGATCTCACGAATTTTATCAAAATTTACTCAAAATTTGAATTTTAACTAAACCAAACATACAAGGCACGCCCTAAGCCAAAGCCAATTAGGCAATGGCTTAGTGGCCTCACATTTTCTGGGGGCCTCCAAATGAAAATCATGGTAAAAGTCCAATTAAAGTAGTATAAATTCTTAAAGATGGATTAATGAAAATTTTATTTAACAATAAATTTTTTGGTTGATTCTAACTTAGTTCGATCTTATCCAAAATAAATTTTTCTCAAGTTTAATATACATGATTAATTACAAGCTATCAAATGAGTCCAATATTATTATGGTAATATGATTTAATTTGGGAAGCAATATTACACATCCAATAGTTTACTTTAATGAGTTATAACTTGAATTTGATTTATCCAAATAATATTTTCATGGGTCCATAATGTCCATAGTTTTGTTTATCGAAAATAACTTGAATTTCCTACTTTTTCTTTTGAATTGTATCAAGTCTTTGTTTAAAATGTAAATATATGATTTCTTTAAATACTTTTACACTTGTAATTTTTATTTATTTTTAATTTATTTTTACGTCTTTAGGTCTCATAATAATGAGTTGTCTAGGTCTCAAAATTTTCAGGATTGGTCTTGTAAACATAAATATATTGTCCACAACAAAAAAGTTGTAATTAAACTCTAAGTAGAACTTTAAATTAGAAAAACATTTAGCTCCTATTGAGTCCTATTCATTAAAAATTTACTATTCCCCAAACTCATTTTTAACTATACATTCTTTCAATAAAATAATTTTATACATAAATCCAAAAAAAAATTCCTACTTTTTAACCACACATTATTTAAAAAAATCACTGTTAGGGAAATTATTTTTGTAAAACATGGGGCTCAAACCACCTTTTAGTTGAGCTCGCATGTATATCAAAGTACAACGCAGAGTCAAGGTAATTATAGGTTTTCAAAATTGCCAGCCAATGTTTTCCCAATATTTGCAATGTTTAGATCATTTTCTCCATATTCGATTGGGATTATTGTTTAGTGGATGCAAAAAGTCAATACCTTGTACACATTTAGAAAAATGTGTATTATGAAGCTTTTCCTTTTGAGCTGCTTCTTACTCACGTCTCTTCCCATATTGGAAATTGCATGCATGTCCACAAAACAATATTCCCAATTCAATACGGTGAAAAATGACACTTTTCCCGAATTGGGAGAATTGTTGGCATTGTGAAATTATAGAAATCTCATAATTATAGCTTTCTTTCGGATTCTTTAAAATCATCAATGTTTTTCTTAGCTGTAATCCATTCAAAAACACTTATTTCAGTGAAGATTTTCTATTATTTTATTTGGAATTTGTAATTTATTTTTTGGTGAGGTTTTCGACAAGAGGGTTCTTGAATGAATTGCATATTCCATTTTTTTTCCCTTTAATTTGGCTTGGTTATTGTTTTTCTCTCTCTTACACAGTCTTGTATTTCTTTCTTTCGTAATCAATGCAAACGAAATTGAAGGACATGCATCATTTAGAGAGAGAAGAGAGAGATGATGTTGGGTCTAACCCACTTTGGATGATGGAATGAATTGCTCGTGGTTTAAATTAATTTGATAAATGAGTTCAAACATTGAAGCAAAAAAGTTAAAACGTTTGAGGATCAGACCAAACTTTGATTTTACAAACATTTCTTTCTTCTTTTTATTTTTATTTATTTATTTATTATTATTATTATTTTTTTTTTGGTGAGGTTTGGCATTAATCCCTACCTTATCTATTGATAATATAAATTATTATCAGAGAAGGGAGACGTACCAATTTTACCTCCAAAATTGCAAGGAGATTAGGAGATGGAGAATTATTTATTCGAAGTTATAAACATCCCATTACAAAAAGGTTGAAACAAAAATTACATCTACGAGACAAAGACTGCACCATTTAATCAAGAAGCCACAACACAATTTTTTGTTGTATTTAATGATAAATATTAACAGTAGATCATATATTGGAATTGTGATTTAATAGATACGAGTTATTCATCTATTGAATTGATATAAAAATTTGGAAATAGGTTATATTTGCAAGACTACCAAATGAAGAATTTTGAAGAATGGTAAGAAGCAGAATGCCAAAGAGAGGAGCTGAGAAAATAGAGAAGGGATGAAGTGATACAATGTGTGGTTAAATATAATAGAGAATTTGGGGGAATCATGGGATCATACTTCAATTTTTAGACAAGCTATCTCGAGTGTCATACATTTTAATATTAAAACGTATATAATTTTATATTAATTATTAGAATTACGAGTGAGAACATAGACATATTAGAGAGTGGGATATTAGTTTCAAGAAAGTAAAATGTGGGATATTATTGTGGTAAAAATGGATTATTATGGTAGAGATCATGGATTTTAATTGATAATTACATGAGATTATGAAATTTAATATAAGACCTCAAGCACTCATAAATATCAGTCTTTTACCAATTTTTATATATTACGACTTCACACTCTCTGCACAAACTTAAGCCTTATTTGGCCCTTATTCTTTTAAACTCAATTTTTTTTTTTTAAATTCAATTTTAGCGAATCTACATGAGACCCATAATATTTATTAACTTTTCAACCACAGATTTCATGAATTTTATCAAAATTTACTCAAAATTTAAATTTCAACTAAACCAAACATACAAGGCACGCCCTAAGCCAAAGCCAATTAGGCAATGGCTTAGTGGCCTCACATTTTTTGGGGGCCTCCAAATGAAAATCATGGTAAAAGTCCAATTAAATTAGTATAAATTCTTAAAGATGGATTAATGAAAATTTTATTTAACAATAATTTTTTTGGTTGATTCTAACTTAGTTCGATCTTATCCAAAATAAATTTTTCTCAAGTTTAATATACATGATTAATTACAAGCTATCAAATGAGTCCAATATTATTATGGTAATATGATTTAATTTGGGAAGCAATATTACACATCCAATAGTTTACTTTAATGAGTTATAACTTGAATTTGATTTATCCAAATAATATTTTCATGGGTCCATAATGTCCATAGTTTTGTTTATCGAAAATAACTTGAATTTCCTACTTTTTCTTTTGAATTGTATCAAGTCTTTGTTTAAAATGTAAATATATGATTTATTTAAATATTTAAATACTTTTACGCTTGTAATTTTTATTTATTTTTAATTTATTTTTACGTCTTTAGGTCTCATAATAATGAGTTGTCTTTTCAGGATTGGTCTTGTAAACATAAATATATTGTCCACGACAAAAAAGTTGTAATTAAACTCGAAGTAGAACTTTAAATTAGAAAAACATTTAGCTCCTATTGAGTCCTATTCATTAAAAATTTACTATTCCCCAAACTCATTTTTAACTATACATTCTTTCAATAAAATAATTTTATACATAAATCCAAAAAAAAATTCCTACTTTTTAACCACACATTATTTAAAAAAATCACTGTTAGGGAAATTATTTTTGTAAAACATGGGGCTCAAACCACCTTTTAGTTGAGCTCGCATGTATATCAAAGTACAACGCAGAGTCAAGGTAATTATAGGTTTTCAAAATTGCCAGCCAATGTTTTCCCAATATTTGCAATGTTTAGATCATTTTCTCCATATTCGATTGGGATTATTGTTTAGTGGATGCAAAAAGTCAATACCTTGTACACATTTAGAAAAATGTGTATTATGAAGCTTTTCCTTTTGAGCTGCTTCTTACTCACGTCTCTTCCCATATTGGAAATTGCATGCATGTCCACAAAACAATATTCCCAATTCAATACGGTGAAAAATGACACTTTTCCCGAATTGGGAGAATTGTTGGCATTGTGAAATTATAGAAATCTCATAATTATAGCTTTCTTTCGGATTCTTTAAAATCATCAATGTTTTTCTTAGCTGTAATCCATTCAAAAACACTTATTTCAGTGAAGATTTTCTA